CTACATTATACTTACTTCAGCTCACCGGCTCACGTAAACCAAAACATTATAGGCGCATTCTTACGCTAGTGACAACATATCGGATGCTCGCTTAAACGCTGCAGTCTCAGGGCATACTCGGTACCGTCTTATGATTTAGAGAAGCCAGTTTTATTTTCTAACTTCCATACTATGACGCCATAAGTATCTAATTACAAGAGAGAAATACGATCGTTTATGGAGCGAAACGATTCAACGCGTTAGTGAATACTAGTCTGTTTACCTCCTCATTACTAACATGTCTGTTTTTTCATAGGTACATGCTACTACATACAATTAGTGGAAATTCACAACCTTACTTTAACATCTACACGTACCAAACACTAACAAAGCCACATAAAAGACCATTCACAAATCCACACCTTCGGAGCCCCAAAATATATATGTGTATCACAAATCTATCATATATTAATGTCTATTACTGTTCATCTTACGTCGCGATTCATGAAACCCGCGGAGTGCGCGCCTATTAAACGTATCTGTGTCGAAATATTCTAAATACCCAGTTGCCTACAGAAAAATCATTTAATAAGCACCTGTCAACCATCTTAGTAGTATTGTAACGTGATGGATCTGATCGACCTAGACTAGCTATACTCTTTAACGTAATCTTTGCCGACTTCATATCAAACGCTTTAGAACTGCTCTCGCTACTTCTCAACGTCATTGACGACGTCCTGATATTTCCAAAGACTATACGATAAAAGCATTATTCGAGACTAGATATATAAGTGTAACGTGTAGACAATCATTGCCATGGTTTAAATACTGCTTGGCATAATAAGATTAATTATCATACAATTACACCTTCTCTTCTAATTATTCATTCAAAAAGATTTAGTCCCTAATATACTATAAAATAGTTTGTGTAATACCAATACATTAGAATATATTAAAATCATAAAATAGTGCGAAGAAGAATATTTCACACCCTTCGTCTGTATGGTCTCCAATTATGACACTTACTAATAATTTAAATTTTATCTAAGCAAATTCATACAAAGCAAAACTAATTCTCTTAACTTCCACAATTGTTATTCCAAGATCCACACCTAAACATCAAGGGGGTTGTTAGTAAAACATGAAGGTATCCTTAATAAATACATAGGAAACGACGAACTCTCGCCGATACTCAATACACACAGACAGCAACCATTATAAATAAAAACACAACATAAGCCTAGAACATTCACTAACCATCCATATTATAAACTAACTTCCAATTATATCATTTATACAAAAATATCCGGCAGCTTAACAAGCCTTCCTTACTCGTAAACAAAATGAAGTCGTCTCACTACTACGAAAGAAAACATAGTCGCTCACGCCGATTAGAAATACACTGGGCTCACGTATATCCTATATATATAAACGACCTTTTTACTTTATACCACAACACTCCGGCCGTGATCGGGCGTCCAGTTGTTCATATCTGTCCTGTCATGGTAATTTACAAGTGTTTCTTTCGAGGTATACTTTATTTTACTATTCTCGTAAAAATTACATAACGCAACCACTTTCAAAATATTATGAACCATTTATAATCCATCTGCTTAGAAGAGGGAATAGTATTGATTACAAAGGCAGTCCTTCTGATCGACTATAAGCAATACGGCTAATCTTTTATACACTTAGACATTTAAGATAATTTTCACCAGGATTTTTCGAGAATTTAATTACTCAACACCGCTATTGTCGTACGTCCTGTCGCGACATATGATTAAAAGGAAAGCGTTTTGCGCCATGAAGACGGGGCATGTCTGAGGCTGGAGTAAGTGTACAGACCTCCAAGACTCGTTCAAGTGTGGCTCCGCAACTGCGAGACGAGTTCACTTCGCAAGTCTGCGCCGGCTGGCTCCGCCCAATTTATGTCACTAGATACCTGCTTCTTTACCATAGACCGCTAGCCGACAGACAGTTATCACCTCCTCTCGACTGCTGCTCGGGTCTGCTCGGTCAGCTTCCGGATGAGGAGGCATTCGTTCGACCAATTTAAAGTAGATAACATTACAAACATTTTTAACAGGGGCCATAATAGCGTAAATAATGTTTGTTTTGGCAGTTATAACTGCATGTAATGTTTTCTACTTTTTTACATCTGGGAAGGCATTTGCCTTCAACAGATGGAAAGTGTCTTGACCAACAACTTAAGTATTTATTATAGCTATGCAGGGCATGCAAACAAGTGAAATGAAGAATACAATTGAAATTGTAATATTGTGGTGGTTCATCTTATAATTCAGTCTATAGAATGCACCAGACAGCATCTAAGACCTGCAAAAATCTAAATGTTCTAGGGGGAGGCCCCCCAAACCCTTCGTGCGTCATTTCGTCCACGCGCATTTTTCAGGGCAATCTCTATTGGGCTCAGGGCCATCTGTAAATTAGCTTAGATGGCCCACAGGGCTCATTTAGCGGTGTGTCCCGCACTCTCATGACTTTCGCCGCTTCCAACATCCGCCCTCGAGCTGGTGGCAAAATACACAACATTGATCGACGAATACCAACTGCCGCTGCTGTTATAGAGTTATTTCATCTTGAAGGTTATGTTCTCCTGCTGTCTTAGCTGTAGCCTTTGTGGTTTGTTCAAGTGCAACTTTGTGGCCATTAAAAGGCAACACAAGGCGACACAAAAGTCAGCCCTGTTGTGACTATTTCTTTTAAAGTGGTTTGATGTGCCTTTAAACCAACGACACAACACTGAAATACATGATGTAATACATGCCCAATCAATCAATGTGTGAAATGATTGGAACCTCTGCGCCAAGACAAGTTCTGCATCTGACAAAATACAAGACATCACATCACATGCTCAACGGGCCTGTCACATCATTAAATGCAGATACATTAAAACTTAATGAAGCATCAGATAGATCCATTAAGCATGCCCAACCTAATGACTAAGAGGCGATCTGTGTAATTAGAATGTAATACATACAGATAGCTCTCTGCCACACACACACAAATAGACGTAATATAACTAGACAGATATTAATAGCATTGGAATACAGTGTCTCCTGCATGAAGAAATCACTGCTCCTAACCTGCTCCTCGGTGTTAATATACACCTATTGAAAACTACTGGGGTGTGGGATGGATTCATTATGCACATGTTCAAATTAATGATTAAAAAAGGGATTTCATATATAGTAAAGAGGACTCTCTATCTTACTTTAAAATGACTGGAAGTGGCAAAGACACTTCACCCTCACACAGTAAAAGGTGATATTTAATTTCCCATAGAGTTGTAAGGTGTTATAAATTAAGCGTGAACAATGTCAAATAAATTTCAATAGCAACTAGATCGAAATGAAAGACCTTAAGAGAGGAAACGGCAGATCAGAAGCAAAACAAAAGGATTTCGGGAAATTCAATCTCCAGGTAATTATGGAAACAGAAGTGCTGTTAAATCATCATTTATTTATATGAACTTAGTTCTTTATATATATTTAATTCTTCAAGATTTAATTAGAGGAGCACCAGCGTACCACACACTGTTCGATGTTAAATGTATTAAAAACATGAGAAGAAATGTCATGTTCCTTGTGCTATGATGGGATTTAAGTTGGTAACGGGTCAAAAGGTTCACTTGAGTTAGAATTATGAGATCAGACAATGAAAACTATTTTCTAGCTAGCTGTGTCGAGGAGAAAATGTTGTTATCACCTGGGCTTGAGTTCACAGAGTTTTGGAGCGAGACACACACACACACACACACACACACACACACACACACACACACACACACACACACACACACACACACACACTACCTGTCTCCTGTCACTCCTCCTGTTTCTCTCCTCCAATAGGATTCTGTTGTCTTGGAGATCAGACTCCTCTCCCAGCAAGACCTCTTGGAGCTCCGCCCACTGAAAGGCGCAGTCTGCCAGCTGCCGTCTCTGTTGCTGGGAAATGCCCAATTGTACCAGTATTTACAAAAATAACACATTAACAGCAGTGAGGCATACTAGGGATCAAAGTCATAGATTTGCGAGAAAATAAAACTTGATGTTTATCCAAATTTCAAAATGAGGTAAAATTGTCCCTGGACAATAAAAACGACACCATTCTTCAAGGGTTTTTTCTTGCAATTTAAAATGTATAATCTCTGATATAAAAATAAATTCCTGCAAAATGTGTGATTTTTTTTCTCTTTATTTACCACTTTAAACTGAGAGTATATCCATGTTTTTATGTTGTAAATGTTGAACTTTATTCTCGAAACCTAACATTTCTCTCAAAGAAACCGGCCACATCCTCCGACTCGAGAATATAGATAAATGTCATTATATATGTTTTAAATTATAAAGGCCTTAATACACTGTAAATCAAGCCAAAACTACAGAACGATTTCTATGAATTTTTGCTGACTTTCTAAAGATCTTGAAGCCATGGTGAGAGCAGTTAGTGGTCAGAGTGAGGATGAGACTCAGCAGGTGGGGAGTGAAACTGACACACTTCTTGTTCAGACGTGATCGATCAAACAACTGGTGAATTTTTTCTAACCTAATTTTCCTCTGAAATGTTGTATCTTCTTCGTACAGAACTATGTATGATAAGTACATACAGGAGAACATATGAATAAGCATCACTTACGTCCTCTAACTTCTGCCGCTGCTCGTGCTGCTGCTGGATCCTCTTCTGCCGGTCGGCCAGGAGCTGCTGCTTGTAGCGCTCCTGCTCCGCCAGCTGCTGCCTGTGCTGCTGCAGAGCCTGGGCAGCAAATATTCAAATACAATTAGGAAAATGAAACAGAAGTAACACTTGATTATAGCTCACACTTTTAATGTAATGTTTCGAATATAAAGTGAACTGGGCTGTGCTGGGCTGAAATCACACTGTGGTACATGAGCTGTGTCTATATGCACTCTTCTGTACTTACAAAGGGAACTTAAGTGTGTCCCAATGTTAAGTATAGCAATATGTTGTAGCCGTATGGTGCACTCAGTGTTAGTATCAAAGTGTTTTTCAATATTTAATAAACATACCAACACCATACTCTTGTCAAAAATAAGACATCGTTAATTACATTTGGTTAATTGAGAAGTCTGTTTTCATTTGGTACCGCGAACGATAATGTTGCTATCTAGCTAGCGAAAAGCCAGTTCCTGAGATTCAAGACAATGCTACACAAAAGTGTTCAGAGTGCTGGACATAGCAGTGTACTAAGTTGGGAATTCAGACTCAGCAAAAACCCACTGCATTTGTTTATTACAACTAATACAACTCCTAATAATAATAATAATGAAAAACTGGGAGGCTATTACCATTTATTATCGTCTCGTTTATTCATTTTACAATCATTAACTGTATCATTTTGATTAAAAAAACGTATATATCATAGTTGATGGCCACAACACAAAGATTTGCTGTCATAAATAACAAATAAACAGAACATTCAAACAATTGAGAAACTACAGCCAGTGACTATTTGGCATCTTGAAACAATGTATTATTATAATTATGCAATAACACAGGAACATGCACTGGGATAAAAGTAAAAGACCAAAACGTCTTTTTGACTTTAGTTGTTTTTGAAAAGCTTAAAATCTAAAATAATTGATTGATGCCTTACGTAAAACATAATATATCATGTCTTTTTTAGATTCAGCACCTTATCATATTCATTTATTTGTTTCTAGCTGTATCTATATAGTCCATACATAATAGAGAAATATGAAAAGAAGGAAAGTAATTCTTTAACACCTTTTTACTTCAGTAATTTAATACGGCTTGGATCGTAAGTCTAAAACATTCCAAAACAGCTGCCACTGGAAACTACATTTGCAAAAAATACTGGTTTTCGATATAATTTAATACAAATGCAAATAAAAAAAGAATCCTAACAGCAGTCAAAAGTTAATTTAGAGTAAGAACTCCGGCATTGTTAATGTTATTAGTACAGCCCTATAATTGACTAGATATTACTCAAGTATTAATTAATGTGTGGACGGTTGTTATGAACTGGAGACCTACCTGTTGTCTTTGCCCCCCGCCTCCCCCCCCTCCCTCTCTGCCCCGTCACGATCCTCCGTCTGTAAGCGGAGGAACTCCCGTCTCAACGTCCACTCGCCGGGAACGTTCACTATGGAGCTGAGAGAGGAAAAGAGGGACGAAAACTGTTAGTGGCAGCCACTCTTATGTAATGAAGTACACTAGAAAACGGATTCCAAACAAAATACTAAATGGCTGACACACACACACACACACACACACACACACACACACACACACACACACACACACACACACACACACACACACACACACACACACAAGGAGAGAGTGCTCAGTTCCTAGTGCCATCTGCTGTTTGACGTCCAGGGACACTAACAGAGAGGACACTGCATCTGTGCATGGACATGTCCTGTACTCATTCATTAGCTTTGCATGTGAGGAGACTTCATTACTACATCATCTACCGATAAGCACTGATAATGATATAGTGAAAATACATTTTTTCAAGTCTTTGGAATATTATTTGCATGTAGGGCTGCACGATTTGTAAAAAAAAAAAAAATGTAAATGGTTTTTTTTAAGGAGAATGCTCATTTATAACATCCCGTACTTTACTACTATTACTAACATACTTTTTTTTATGACGACATAATTCACATTATCACTGAAAAATATATCATGTTTTATTTATTATTAATGAATATATATGATGTAGACTTGGTGGGATTTTTGAAAGAGGATTGGTTCCAAAACGGGATTTGTATCACATCAGTTGAATATTGTTTGTAGACTGGGACTTCTCTGCAGAACCACAACATTTCATTCAGATATTTTTTACCTCCATCCAATATTTTGCTTATTACAATTTAGATTTTGAACTGATCGATATTGCCATTTTTTCTAAAATGTCAATCAATTGAGTAGCCCTTTTTGCATGTTTACCCTGATTCATTGACTTCGTATGCTTGATCTTGGAATCAAAATCAGGATGTTTGCACACGGTTTACACATACAAGGAATTTGCTTAGCTGTATATTGTTGAAAACATAACACACGATATATTCAATTGTAAAAAATAAGCAGGTAAAGAACTTTATGAAAGTCATTTTGAGACTTTTATAAATAAACAAAAAATCTAAAGAAATGGTTAGAAGCCAACCCTAACCCTAAGAAGTGACTACAATAAGAATATCGCAAATTACTCTTAAATGTATCTTTTCATATCAGAATTCAGACTGGTAGTGCAGTGCAGTTTAAAGGTTCAATTGAAGAGAAATGTGCGAATAATACAGATGAATGTGCAATTTTATATATTTGTTGCATTGAAAATCTTCACCCTGTGATTAATTTCTTCAACAAAACACATCCAGTTTGAAAAGCTTTTACCTGGGTTCTCCTTCCTCCTCTGTCACCTCTTCATCGTCTTCGTCACTGCCGCTGTACTCGTACTCTGGACCCTCTGAGAGAGAAAAGAAGAAGATTAGTCATTTGTTTGGTTAATATTGGGTCTTTAAAACCAAAACAAATAAATCCTTGCAAAGAAATAAGATGAAGATGTATTAATATACAAACCCTTTTTTGGGTTTGCCACTGTTTTTATCAAATTAAATAATTATCCACATCTTACTCAGCACTGTAACTTTATTCTTGTATTTTATACCTTTAAATAATATGATTGGCTTGTTTTAATTATATTCTTTTGGCTCTTTAATTTTTTTCATTACATTTATAAATCAATGTAAACTCTCTTATCATGGATAAGTGCTATTTAAAATAAAACCTGACTTGCTTTTTTATTATATTTTTGAGAATGTAATTTGACCTCAAATTAATTGAAAAACAACAGACCACTATTTTTTATAAATAAAATCCATTCTCTCCAGATGTTCTCCAATTTGAAGATTTTCTGATTTTTCTGTTCTGATATTATTATAAACTGAGGATCTTTGGATTAGACTTGGTAGATAAAGCAAGACATTTAAAGACCTCTCCTTGGACTCTGGGAATTTATGACTCTATTTTCAAATATTTTAATTGGTTGATAGATTTACTCTTGAGAATGATAATGTGGAATGTGACCCTCTTTACTCTGGTCATGTATCTGAAACCACTTTTCCACCAAATTAGCTCTGTTTCCGGCTATTCTCTTTTGTTGGTATCTAGCGAAACAACTCTGGTTTTGGACCAGTTTTTAGCAGATTGATTGTAATCAAATCGATGGTGCTCACAATGCACATCGGCAGTAAACATATTGCATTGATTACCTGCAAACTTTGGTTCTGTTTCTACCCAAGAAAATATCGACTTGTGAAAAGAAGCAGAAACGACTATTACATGCCAAAATCCATTTCCAACTCATAGAATATGACACGCCCAATGATATCTTTACGGTTCGCAGTTCAAGGAAAACCAGTTTTTCAGGTTCCGAAGCAATAAAGCCATTGTTTAGCCTGTAACAATATGCTTAAGTAAATTAATTGGGTCGGTGGATAGCTCAGTGGTTAGAGCTGGCGGCCCATATGTGGTTAAGCTGCCTAAGCCGTAGTTCAAATCACGGAAACGTCAGGCAGGGCCCGTCCCACATCTATCAATAAAGAAACTCTCTGGCCCAAAAAAATATTATTGAAAAAAATGATAGCTGTGTATGTAGCTTATAGTGGCATTTAAAGAACATTTGAGTTATCTAGCTAAATGTTGTACGACCACATTCGATGCACACCGGTGAATGCTGTGCGATATTAATGAATTAATAATAATTGAACGGTACATTCCAACAACGTTCCGAGTTATTGCCAGTGTGCTCTGTCGCTCAGAGTGACTATTTACAAACGAAAGCTTTGAACGGTTCAACTGGGGAAAAAAACGTATGAACCAAGCAGCTTTTTTACTATAAAACTAAGCACTTGGTGTTCATCCAAAAAGAGGTGTGGTTATGGGTGCTGCCTGGCGTGAAGGCCTCTGGTGTGTTGATGTTGTAGTTCTGCTTCTCTGGCTCACTAAAGTGTCCAATGTTTGATAGGAAACTTCTCCATGCCTGCTGTCTCGCTCCTTTATCGTTTGCTGCCACTAGCAATTTTGTCATTATCGAAGCCACACAAAAGTACAGTGTGGGCAAACTTGGCCAACAACAAAGTAAATGAGAGTCTTGTTTAGTGGGAGACATATGGGACGGAGTGGTTACACCAACAGCATTGCTGAATCATCTAATTTCGGACTCAAATGCAGTCACTCAAGAAGTTTTCTCTCCTTTTTCGCCTCCTACCGTGGGACCCATAACACATGTGAATTACCCACACACATCATTGCTATGGAGCTATTATTTAGGTACAACTGTTTTTAAGTGTAAACAAAACCTAATAGTTTGGATTGCAGATTGGAAAATTGTTTCAGTAAATCCCAGCACAGGCCAGTTCCAGGGGGCTTATTGTCCAGAGGCCAGGGAGATGGGCCAGCCAGATTAGCATAACAACATTTGGCCAACATATGGTGTGAAAGTAGCTAGGCTAACTTGAACATTAACTCGACGCGCCATGTGTTCCCATTAACACGCTAAAAGGTGCATTTCTGAGCCAGAAAGAAGGAGGAAGACGGACAAATTCTGCTTTTGCAATGAAGGGAGGAAACTCTGTTGCAGTGATGTCATGTTTCAAAGTTTTGGCTCACGCTGAAGAGCAATTTGAAGGTTAATGCCTACTTTTGCTGACTGAGAAGTGACCGCTTCTGTTTTTTTGTGGATCATCTTCCAAAATATAGACCAAGCTAAGGCCAAACTACACTCCTAGCTAAAAATGTCACATTCTTTTTGCATCATATCCGCAGCGAAATGTTTTTATTTTATTATTTTTAGCAGCAGAGACTTTTTCCCACATGTTCTTAGACTACCAGCTTTTACACACACACACACACACACACACACACACACACACACACACACACACACACACACACACACACACACACACACACACACAGTGTTTTTATAAGCTAACTGAAGATTAGAACCAGATGATCATTCTGTTTCCTCCTTCCTTTCCCTCTCAGCTTCTCTCACTCTCTCTCTTTGTTTCTGTTGTCACCACTGTCTCTCACCACTCCCCAAATGGAGATGAATAAACCCTAATAAAAAAATGTCTTCTTTAAACATCAACATGAAAACGCCTACCCTGACTCTCAGTTTGCTTTCCGCCACATATTCGGCTCATCATCCAGAATATAATTCATTTATTTGTAGAGCAGGATGGGGATACAATTCTCCACCCCTCCGCGTCCCTATTCTTAATTTCTTTCTTTGTCAGCCTTTTGGCTCCAATCTTCTTTCATTCTCTCACTCATTTTGTCTGGCCGTCTCACTGTTGCCCTTCCTCTGAATACAAATCAATTAAAAACTGGCAAAAACTGGTGTAAAGTTCAAATAGGCAACCAGTTGTCCAACCAGTTGCACTGAAAAGCATTTGAAGCGATTTAATTAGATGTATGGATGAAAATGTATCTTAAAGGGGCCCTATTATGCTAATTTTCAGGATCTAATTTCTATTTAGCTCCTCTACTGTGAACCGCCTCCATGCTTAAATGCTCTTTATTTTTCTCATACTGCCTGTGCTGCAGCACCTCTTTCACATATAATGTACGGTTTGGAGTGCTAGCAAATAGAAGCGCAAGTGTAACATAATGATGTCACTATGATACAGAAGTAAACAAAGGAGTCCAATGGAGACGTGTCATACATGGGGGAGTGTGTGGGAGAGAAACTCCCTCTGGAGGGAACTTAGGGAATATATCCTTTACAGACCATTTACATGCACAAAAACCCAAAATTCTGGTTTCAGTATATTGCAGTAATAATAGACAGTTTTGGATGTTAAAAAGGTCGGGTTTGCATCAATGCAAAAGAAGATGGTTAACACTAGAAACTAAATAAAATATTTCCAAAAACAGCATGCTATGAATGAGCAGAAATGCAGAGGTTTTAACAGCCTGTGAGAAGCAGCTGCTGGGCCCATTAGTGCAGCTGGTGCACTCTCTGAGCTGAGTGTGTTCATACTTCTTATTCCACTACAAGTGGCCTGAAACCCAGCTAATGCAGGGACACAGGGACACATGATGGAACATGTATTCTGGGAAGTGGCCTATTTGCAAAAAAGGTTTTATTAGTTATCTAAAGAATTTATAAAAGGGCCCTCGACTTCCTGGGAATCAGCTCTCCATACCTAAATAATTATAACAATGTAGGACAACAATCTCAATCCCTGTGCGTTTTTGTTTTATAATTATGTTATGACTCAATTTGACTCTTAGCACACTGAACACTTGCCCAGTGTGTGAATTTCATCGGAGAATCGTCAAATTGTAATTGGCGGCTGTAACCTCACCAGAAGTGGTGGTTGTTGCTAGCTAGCAACGTTGTTGTCTCCGATAGCGAATCATTACAGACTGATCAATGAACACATTTGAATTAACGGGGGCTTCTTTTCAACACTGGCATCGTGAATAGTGGTACGTTTATTCAAATACTACAAAAAAAACACAAGTATAACTTTTTTTTGTATAGTGCCATGTTCAACAGTACAACTGCAATCACAGCTGTTGCCACAACTTCAACATTTGAAATGGAAAAGTGTCCAAACTTTGGTTTGAAGGTAAATCAACTACCCAGAACCATTTTATTGCCCAAATGTGAATGATTAGGGCCTAAAAGTTGTATAATGCGCCAAAACCCGAATCCAGAGTTATTTCCTCTCTCCTCTCATTTGACTGAGCCAAGAACAGCTATGACAGAGCAGATTGGAGGCGGGGTTTAAGGATAAAGCAAGTGCTCATGCTCTATGGGCCGAGACATGGTATTAAACTCTCTAGAGTCATGCCAAATTGCCTTCAAAGGCCACTGAGCAACTTTATAGGAATGAACAGTACCCTCTCTCCAACGCTGTACCCAGTTCTCTTTATCCATCCATTGTTTAGAACTCTGTTATGCTTAAACTATTTTTACTCACCTTTCTCTTTTTTCTTTCTGGTTCTATCCAGGTGATCTTTGAGCATGATGCGCACTTGTCTCTCGTTGGCCAGATCCCGGATGAAAGCGTGTCTCAGCAGGGTGTCGGTGTTGGGCCGGTGCAGGTGGTTCTTCACCAAACAACTATCGGTAAACGACAAGAAACGCTTCGACCTGATGAAGAGAGAAAAAGACAAAAATTGTTAGCATTACAAACTCCTTCCAAATGTTTAAGGACAGCTGAACACACATTTTAGATTAGCATTTTATTAGTTATTAGTCGCCCTATAATTGGTCTTCCAGTCTTAATTATTCTTAGTTTTTTAATATTGTCATATTGATTTGTTATTTGTATTAATTAATTTTGTTTATGTCTGTTTTACTTATACTGTGTGGGTAATCAGTTGTGAACTTTTGGATTATTATTTATTAGCTTTGCCTATTTTACATCCATGTTATCATATATATAATGAACACATGTGTTTTGTGCCATATTGTTAAAACACTTTAAGCTGCATCCTATGTATGGGTTATATGTGTGGTGAAAAGTCTTCCAGGTAGCCTTCACATTGCACAGTCTTAGTCAGTTATTGAAATGTTAATATCCCAATTCATTTATTCTCAACTGCGCACTTTAACTTTCAGTTGCACTTTTTAATCATCATTGTTTGTTTAGTCAGATTTTCTGTAAAGCTGTCTGTGTTAAAATGGCCAGCTTAAAGGTGGGGTAGGTAAGTTTGAGAAACCGGCTCGAGAAACACTGTTTGTTATATTCCATGGAATGCTCTTAACATCCCGATAGCAATGAATATCTTAAGTGCTTTGACAAAAAATCCATAAAGCCGTAGTACTGTAAAAAGCATGACCAATCATCTGAGCCGGCCCGGCTAAAGTAACTGGATGGCCGACCTGCCTGTCAGCCTTCCATCTGTGCACAAACTTATCTCGTGCCCTCATTGGTCATGTGCACGTTCGTGTGTGTTGGAGGAGGGGCTCTGTAAGGAAGTGGCAGATTTTTTCCGGTTGTGTATTTTCAAATTCTAGCGCATCTATAAATAAACTTGAGTTGACAAGTGGGAAGAGGCTTAACGGAGCAGACATTTGAAACACATGTAACCTAAAACCCCAAACCTGTACTACATTAAATAGGTTGAGGCGTAGTATTGACTAGAATCCTTATCATGAGATTGTTGAAAGATTCAAATATGTTTTTTTTAACTTACTTTCATTTAAATAATCTGTTAATAACATTAGCATAAAGAGGACAATACTTTAAAGCAGCACATATTAAGTGAATAAAGTGTATCCCAGTCAGAAACCAAAAAAGTGAAGGAAACTAAGAAATGTGTAAATGAATATGCATTCAAATGACATGAAAAGAGAGAATAAGGTAAAGTCTAAAACAGGGAAATGTAACAGACCAATAAAAAAACAGCAGGTTCATTAATCAGACATATTTTAAAACAAACCGCATTAAGATATTAGGTTAAACTCACCCAGATCTTGTAAGATAGTAATCACTTGTCACATTA